CTATTTGAAAAGTGTCCTGAGATAACTTCTGTTATGAATTGGCGCTATACAAATAAAATTGAATTGAATTAAATAGTTAACCTCAGAAGATTTTCTCTAAATACATGATATTGAGGGATTTTAAAAATTTGAAAACGTCACACAGACACTACGTTTTGTCTGATGATTATTTTCATTATCAAGTAACATAGTCACATATTTCCAATAACTGATCAATAGTTTCCAGTAGTAACCCATAAAAACCTCCCAGAACGCTAAATAATATCTTGTGTATATTTTTTTCTGACCATAAGTTAAAAAAGTTATTTGTTCACAATGACATAACAGTGACAATGACATAATCCCTCACCAGTTTCCCACCAGTGAATGCTGCCAATTGACCCTGTCTAAGTCCCGCCCCTGCTCACTTTGTGCTTCCATAAATAATAGCTGAGCAAGCTGGGTAGCTGGCAGAACCTCTGTCAATGTTTTCCTGTACTTACATATGCTATGTGCTAGGCTAATCTGTGTTGAAAAGATAATAACATTTTAACATATACAGTTAATGCACCTCTTTGAATAATACTGCACATGCACATGTGTTAAAAGAGTTACATTTTTCATTTGAACTTCAAAGTTAAGTCAACTTCTGTTGTCAAAATAACTATATATAACTAATAACTAAATATGTATCAATAAATATTTTTTGTTTAATGAGGTTTTTTCTCATTTATTGTCATTATCTTTCATCACTATAATGTCTTTTGAGGTGAGGGGGTTGAATATTTCTGATTGCAACTGTATATAGTTACATATTAAGTCAGCTAATGCTAGCAAAATGTCAGCTGAGTAGCTAAGTAGTAAGTTGCTCTGTAGCAGAAGGCTATGTAACTAGCTAAATAGCTAACTAACTATTGATGTAGATTAGAATTGTTTTGCTAACATTAGTTAACTTAAGATGTGAATATATAACAATAAGGAACACATTGAAATTAGACTGACCAGGTTGTGGGAGAGGGGGAAGGCATGTTTGGCCAGAACCTCCACCACATCCGGATGGCTTTCCTCTGTCTTATAAGCAAACCTGGGACTCCTCATGTCCTGAAGCAGAAACATCACAAGAAACCCCCAAAATAACCCCCCAACAGAAACTGCACACTCATCACTCATAATTATTGAAATTATTGGTTTATTAATTGATTCTCTGATTCCACCTTCACCATTGTGTGAGAGAGTGTGGTACCTTGCAGACTAGCTCCAGTCCTTTGGTGTTCTCTCCCTGGTTGGGAACAGTGATGGTCTCCAGTCTGCTGATGACTCCCAGGTTCACATCAAGAATGAATGGAGAGTCCTGGATGTACACACACTGACATTAGATCAATGGTTATAGAGCTCTGGTTGTGAATAAAAGCTCTGCTGAGATCTGCAGTACCCTTTCCACACTGGTGAAGTAGAGCTTGTAGTCTGTGATGGTCAGGGTCCCATTAACCAGACCACTGAATGGACAGATGTACATCACATCCTTGACTGCACGCCAGCAAACACACCAAAAAAGATATGGATTAATTCGCAAATAAGTAATATGCACAATGACTGTTTTAAAGCTGGAGTAGTTCATTTTTATGAAAAACATTTTTTGTCATATTTGCTGACAACTGTCAGGATATAGTGAAAGTTTCAGCAAATATGACAAAAAGTAATTTTATATAAAAATTAACTACTGCAGCTTAAAATAAAATAAACATTTTAAGAAACACCTGATACTGTCATGATGAATTTGGATGAGAGACAGATTAGTTGAATTTACCTGTAGTCTGGATGGTCTCTCCAGGTAGCAGAGGAACCTGGTTCTGGAACATTTTGACCTGTGCCCCGTATCTCAGAGCTGGAAGGTTCTGTACAGAATACAGACCGATTAGTGGGACCACAACACCCAGCATACAGCAGTAGTCATTACTGTGAACTAAATGAGTACGCTTCCAGGAGTTTTTGAAGGACAAAACATAAACCATGCCCTTTCAGGTATGACAAGACAATACATGAAAACATGTGAATGACCACCACTGTTCAAGACTTTTATTTAATTATCATCTTTTGTCAGTGGAATCTATACACAGAGCGACAAACAACAGTAAGTGAGATATCTTGATTTTTAGTTCCTAGTATGGGTCAAGCTCCAAGAAATACTAGATCTTACATGCAAATCAAAAGAATCGAAGAATTGCTTTCATTGCTCCCTGTCTCCAAACTTTATTATTTGCCGTCATTCCTTGGGTTTACAGTGCTGAAGGAAGCTGAGATGGGAGGAGTTAATGAGCGGAGTGAGGCATGCAGACCAGGACAGAGTAAGGAGGAAGGAAAGAGAACAGAAAAACAGAGACAGAAAGAAAGAAAGAAAGAAAGACTTGCCAAAGCATTGGAAGGATGCTCAGATTCACTTTCTCCATGGTAACAAAGCCCTTCATCTTGTAAATCTTGCTGCAGAGAAGAGCCAGCATGGAGAAAGTGAGAGAAAGAGAGAAAGAGACATTATATAGTAAATAAACATTATTCTACAACCCTTATTGTCACTCCCTGCTCTCTGCTGAGCTGAGATTGGCGTGTTTCTAGATGCCAACGCTTTAAGTATTCACATTGTCATATTTATCACAAAGCCTTTCTCAAAATGACCATGTCACTCCTGCTGACATTTCAAACTCTCTGAAGCATACAACAGGTCATTTCTGCCACTCACATTAAAACCACTAAAAACACTGAATAAAGCAGTTCTACCTTAAAAATCACTGTTTATCCCATGCTGTTGGGCAGACAAAGGGAGTCCTATAGAGGCTGCGAGCCTAACTGCTGCTAACGTCAGCTCATTTTGGTCATTTAGAAGCATCGGTGGTAAACAGAGACTGTTTCATAACAAGTTAAAAACTCCTTGTAGTACATTTAAAGGACCAGTGTGTAGGATTTAGTGGCTTCAAGCGTTTTCCTCATATTTTTAGGATTTTTTTATACAGCTCTCTGCCTGTATTATGTATTATGATGCTGACAAATACGTAAATGCAGGCGAGTGACAGTGGTGCTAAGATCCGAATCTGCTGCTGAGTATATTTGCCAATGTTAATTTTGCCTGTGTGACCAAGCCCTCCCAGGGAAGAGTTAAATGATCATCCCACTGCACTTTTACATTTACACTGAACTTGTGAGTGTTGTCATGATATTGGCATTATAGTGCTAATTTACACTAATAGGGCTGATTTTGAACTCCTTGCCTTGGTGAAAGAGGGACAGAGAGAGTGCAGGGGAAAAGAACAAAAAAAACCTGAAGAAAGGTACTGTGAAAGAAAAAAAGAAGGAAGCACACTGATCTCCGACATCACTGACAATCTAGTCACTTGCACCTCAGGCACACGATCACATCCTGTTTACATGAAATACTGTGCACATTCTAGCAGTGTTTAATGTTTCACTTTCACCCACTCATGACGTGCTCTATGACTCTATTGGACTTTAATATGAACTTTGCATCAGCGCAATGAAGCGGACGTGTGAGGTGGTATTTTATTTTCCAGATTAGCCAAAAACCTGACATTGCTGTCCAAGTGTGTTTACAAGCAGACTGGAAATAGTCAGAAGGCAGCTTCAGCCTTCAGCAAAGCAACATTCTGAAAAACTGAGCTCTGAGCACAAACACCTATGTGTATGTGTGTCTTTAATGTACAACATTCAGAAGACAGGCTGATAAAGACTACAGCTCTTACCCTGGGATTCAGCCTCTTGGACACCTGGAGGTTTAACACACGAGTACACACACATGCAAAACAGATGTAGTTCACATGAATGGAAACAACTGTTTACTGTTTGATATCAAACTGAAGGTTCCTTTTCAGTCTCTCCAGGATTGTGCAGGCTTTTTTAGGATTGTTGTTGTCTAAAATGCCTGATTTCAGGGCAGCTTATCTAAAATTTTGCGATGCACATTGCAATGTTTTTTTAGTTTTTTTTCTTGTATAATTAATTCAAATTGATTTTGTAGGGTTGGAAAACATTTTTGATTCATGTGGGATTCACAATTCTTATCTTTTACAATTCTGAACAGATTTACAACTTCCAAAAATGAAAAGTTTTTTTAAAGCCGCAGTGGGTAACTTTTATAAAAATAATTGTTTGTCATTTTTGCTAAAAATTTCACTTTATCCTGACAGTAGTACATAAAACAGATAATCTGAAAAAAATTAGGTTCCTCTGGTTCCTCTTAGTGCTCCTAATGGCATTTGTGAGAATTATCCAGGCCTAAATGAAAACAACCAATCAGAGCCAAGAAAGATAGTTAATTTTTTTTCTCATTCCCAGGGTTTCAAATACAGACACTTTGGGACCCAGGGAATGAGACTCAACAATCATCTATCTTCAAGATCTTCACATTATCGTCTACTACTTTCAGGATATAGTCAAATGCCACATTTACACATAGCCGGGTATTTAGAGAAACGAATATTTCCCCCCCTCCGTTTTCAATAATAACATCGTGCACACATCGTTTTCAAAAAAGTTGTCAACCCGCATAAATACGCCGTCGAGCGCCATCATAACTATGCCAAACCTATGGGCGGCAGTGTAGGGAG